ATGTTCAGTGCTTGGGTGATTTGTTGTTATGTCGAGCAGGAGATTTGTTGCACTTTCTTTCGCACGTCGCTACTCTCGTAATTACCTCCTAGTTCTTTGCCTTCACTCAAGGGTCGAAAGAAGCAAGAGAGTATTTTCATTCTTTTGGGACTCTATTTTTAGAAAAGAATGACCATTCGTCTTAGAAGACACTACCTCTTTAGAAGGCGGTGGTGGATTTGGAGACCATGTCTCTGGGCGAGAGACTTATTTCAGAACGGGTTCATATACACACATTTTTTTTGGGAGTTATAGATTTATTGTAACCACAACTTTGTAATCGCTTCTTTGTTCATGAAATAAAAATAGTTCCTTTTAGCTTGAACCTTCCTCTCTGTGGCTTGTACTCCTTGTCTTTTCATGGTTTGCTTTGCTCTTCTTTTCCTTATGTTCTTTTTGGTTCTTATCCCTCTTTGATGACAGGGACAAGAAATGGACTAGGAGACTTGTTTTGCCTCAAGGGGGTATGCCACCGGTCTGGCTTAAATGGTTCAAATGCCCTTTCAGGTTTCATTCGAGCCCTTTAGGGTGTGTGTCGTTTCTGGTTTTTGCAAGGACCCTTGATTGATGATGATGTTTTTTTTTTTGGGCACTTGACCACCGAGGGTCTCATGGGTGCAGATAGCGCAAGGAAGATAGCTCGCTTGACTACCTGGTGTAGTGGTGCACTAGTGTGTGCTGAATCCTTGGGGGGAGATCCATTGTTTTGAGTGGGTCAAGAGGGAGTATTGCATACCTGAGATGAGTGGTGCTATTTGCTGGAAGCAGGCACCATTTGAGCAAGCAAAGACTTGCGTGTGGGGTGATGGAACCACGTGCTTCTTTTCGCATCAAGTGATGGTGCAGTTTTTTTCGTTTTTTGTTTTTTTTTTTGTGCTTAGCTGTGTCAGGATTTGCGTGATGTTTCTCTTGCACTCAATTAATTAAACAAATGAGGTAGTTATTCTGGATCTCATCTTCTCGTGGCCATGTTGATTCTTTATTTGAGTGGTACTGCTATGAACACGAACCAGGGAGATTCCTTTATTGCGAAAAAATGGCACTGTCCTGTCTAGAATTTCAATCTGTTGTTCAATATAAGTCAGGTCTTCCTTGACTGTTAATGACTCATACTTCAAAAAATGGGATGGGTCTGGCTGATATTTCCTCAATAAAGACACATGAAACACATCATGGATATTTTCTAACTCAGGTGGTAGGACAAGCCGATAAGCCATACTTCCTACTCAGAATCTCAAATGGTCCAATAAAACGTGGGCTCAACTTTCCTTTCGTACTGAACCTCATAATACCCTTGGTCGGCGATACCTTCAGGAAAACCCGATCACCTACCTCAAATTCAAGGCTTCTTCTTCGGTTGTCGGCGTAACTCTTTTGCCGACTCTGAGCAGTTTTGAGCGTCTCCCGAATTAAAGCAATTTTTTTCTGAGGTCAGTTGAAAAGTTTCGGGACCTGACAGCCTTCTTTCACGGACCAAATCCCAACAGATAGGTGATCAATACTTCCTTCCATACAGGGCTTCAAAAGGGGCCATCTGAATACTAGCTTGGAAAATGTTATTATAAGAAAATTCTATCAGAGGCAGATGATCCTCCCAGCTCCCCTTAAAATCAATAACACAGGCTCTTAACATATCTTCTAGGGTTTGAATAGTTCTCTCTGATTGCCCATCCGTTTGGGGGTGAAAAGCTGTACTAAAAGTGAGTCTTGTCCTAATGCCGACTGCAAACTGTCCCAAAACATTGAAGTAAATCTAGTGTCCCTATCGGACACTATACTGACAAGCATTCCATGTAATCTTATAATTTCTTTAATGTATAGTTGGGCCAATTTGTTCAAAGTATAAGTTGAGCGGATCGGTAAGAAATGAGCTGCTTTCATTAGTCGGTCCATAATGACCCAAATACTATCATGTCCAGTACCTGTCTTGGGTAATATGGAGACAAAATCTATGGTAATGTGCTTCCACTTTATACTCTGGCACGGGCAGGGGTTGCAACAGTCCGGCGGGTTTTTGATGTTCAGTCTTCACTTGTTGATATGTTAAGCACTTGGAAACAAACTGTGCTACTTCCTTTTTCATATCATTCCACCAAAAAATTTTCTTCAAATTCTGATACATTTTAGTACTTCTCGGGTGCACAGTATAATGGGAGTGGTGTGCTTCTTCTAGAATTACTCGCTTGACATCCTCAATATTCGGGACATAAACCCAATCTTTAAATCTTAACAGACCGTCCCCACTAATAGAGAAATCTTCTTTTCTTCCCAGCTTTATTTCTTCAAGGGTCTTCATAAGTTGGGGATCCTCTTTCTACCTTCACAAATCTGTCGAAAGAGCAGGGGCTCTGCCCTCATACTAGCAGTTATTCCTTCATCAACACTAAGGGGCAGAGTTGGGTGCCACTCCACCGCATCTTCTATCAGTTTCATCTCTCGAGTCATTAGGTATGCTACTGACGCTAAGGCTTACGACTTAAAGCATCGGCCACGACATTAGTCTTGCCTAGTTGATAATAAATGGTAAAATCATAGTCATTCAGTAGATCTATCCATCTTCTTTATCTCATATTTAACTCTTTATGAGAGAATAGATACTTGAGGCTCTTATGATCTGTAAATATCTTAAATTGGGCCCCATATGTGTAATGTCTCCAGATCTTCAAGGAAAATACTACGGTCGCAAGTTCCACGTCATGGGTTGGGTAATTTTGCTCATACAGTTTCAACTGTCTGAAGGCATAGGCTATAAGCTTCCCTTGCTACATCAATACACATCTAAGCCCGTTATGGGAAGCGTCAGTATAGACCACAAGGTCTTCGTTCCCTTCAGGTAAGGTTAATATTGGGGCCATGGTCAGTCTCTTCTTAGCTCTTGAAAGCTTGTCTCACGATTATCTGACCATTTAAACTTTACCTCTTTCTGAGTTAAGCGAGTCAGGGGAAGTGCTATCTTCGAGAACCCTTCAACAAAGCGTCTGTAATAACTTGCTAGTCCCAGAAAACTACAGACCTCGGACACATTTATCAGCCTTTCCCACTTCAGAACAGCTTCAATTTTACAAGGGTCAACTTCGACCCCATCCTTAAAAATAACATGTCCAAGGAAGGTCACACTGGAAAGCCAAAACTCGCTTTTCCCCAGCTTTGCATATAACTTTTCCGTCTTTAGGATCTGTAGGTCCATCCTTAAGTGTTGTTCATGCCTTTCCAGATTCTTTGAATATATCAGAATGTCGTCTATAAAAACCACCATAAAATCATCTAAAAAGGGCCTAAACACCCTATTCATCAAATCCATAAAGGCGGTCGGGGCACTAGTTAACCCACACGGGATTACCAATAACTCATAATGTCCATATCGGGTTCTGCATGTGATCTTAGGAACATCTTCTTCTTTGACCCGCAGTTGATGATAACCCAACTGAAGGTCAATTTTAGAAAACACTTGAGCCCCTTGAAACTGATAAAAAAGGTCGTCAATTATAGGCAAGGGGTACTTATTATTTATTGTGACCTGGTTCAACTGTCTATAATTTATACAAAGCCTTAAGGACGCATCTTTCTTTTTTATAAATAAAACTAGTGCACCCCATGGTGACACACTAGGTCCAATGAATCCCCTTTCCAATAACTCTGGCAGTTTCTCCTTCAGTTCTTTCATTCGGCTGAGGCCATCCTATAAGGGGCTTTAGAAATGGGTGCAATGCCAGGAACCACCCCTATTTCAAATTCTATCTCCTTGACTGGAGGCAGATTGGTTAACTATTCAGGAAAAACTTCTAGATACTCCCTTACTAATGATATCTCATCTAACTTTGATTAGGCATCTCGATTCTCTATTATGTAAGCCAGATACCCAACACATTCTTTGGCCAAAGGTCGGGAAGCCCAAAGCGCTGAGATAAGGTGCATAGGAGAAACATCCTTAATGCCAAGAAAATTCAATTCAGGCTGATTAGGGCGTCTAAAAGTTACAGTTTTGTCGTAACAATTTACTATCGCATAATGAGCAGACAACCACCAGTCCATACCAAAAATCACATCAAAGTCTCATATGTCTAATAGTATCAAGTCTATAGGTAGAACACACCCTTCAAACAAAACCTCACAGTGTTTATAAACAAGATCAGTCTCTATAGATTCCCCCATAGGTGTGCCTACAGTCAATGTCCAGTCAAGAAGTGCACGTCTAACATTTATGTGGCATGGAAGTGAGGTGCAACAAAAGAGTGTGTGGATCCAGAGTCAATCAACACTTTAGCTTCCATGTTACAGACAAAAAACGTACCTCGAATCACAAAGGTGGACGCCTTGGCTTCTTATTTCGAAAGGGCAAACACCCGACCCTGAGTCTTTGGTCGGCCTTTGGTCTCTTCACCGGACAGTCCTTGCTTATGTGGCTAGGCCTGCCACACCTGAAACATGTTCTTGTCTTCCTTTAGCACTCGGCTGCCAAGTGATTGTCCTTTCCGCAATAAGGACATGTTGAGCACTGCTTCACTCTTACCTTGCTCGAAAAGGTTTTCTGGATCTTCTTGCTTCCTTGATTATTATTTCCCCTAAAACTTCTCTTTGGCCGAGTCCTTCTTCCAAAACTTCTAAATTGAGCCGGTCCCATCCTTCCCTCTTTCTTGAACAGGGACCCTTCGTCTTCCCTTTCTATCTTCTTGGACAGATCCACGAGAGGGGAGAAGGTCTTTAAATTGATCGATATTATCCCCTCCTTATTTCTGACCTGAGGCCTCTTTCAAACTTACTAGCCTTTCCGTGCCTCAATGTTAATGATGTGCGGCCCATATCTTGACAAGTCAGCGAACGTGGCTGCATACTGTTCTACGGATAGTCCCCTTTAGTGCTGCTCAATAAACTCCACTTCCTTTCTTTCTCGTACAGAGTCCGGGAAGTACTTCTCATTAAAGGCTTCTAAGAAATTTTCCTAGATCACTTCTGTCCCTGACCTTTCCCAAGATTTCTTTACTGAGCCCCACCAGTGCTCAGTGTCTCCTTCTAACATGAAGGCCCCTAACTTAGCCTTCTGCTCGTCACTGCAAGGCAACACTTCAAATATCTTCTCCACCTGCCTTATCCATCGTTCTACTTTTTCAACTCCCCCATGCCCCGGGAATGTCAGTGGCGCTAGCCTCCTGAACCTTTCTATTAGTCCACGGTCAGTTTGCTCCGGGGAAAGGGTAACCGATGTCGACATACTATCTTTCTTCATTTGAGTCATGGCCTCCAATGTTCTGAACAATTCTCCAAGGGCTTCGGTATTCTTGTTATTGGAGCTCTCATTATTAGCACGAGTCCTTGGCATCTTTGTCCTACAACAGGGGCACTTCAGTCACTAGTCTACTCAAAACTATTCTAGAGACACCTTTACAACATTATAGGCTAAGAATCCTAGCTTGGCTCCTCATAACTGTTATAACCATGCCCCCTGACCCCTACCCTTTCCAAATGGAAGGTGACAGAGTGCGAGATCGCGACGGAAGGTCGCGTACGTCACTCAGGTGGGAGTGGCATCAACACGTGTTATAATTGGGGAATGAAAACAAACCATCAAATAAAAATAAACACATAATCACATGGCTATATACAGAGAAAAATAGAAACCATTTATACAAGTCCAGCCCTAAAAAATTATTTTAGAAAGTTCAAGGTGCTACTGGCCCAACTACAAAATACAATCCATCAAAATACATTGTGGCACAGCCACTAGACATATACAATCAAAAGATTCCTGGACAGAACTTGAGCTTCAAAGCTCTGCTCCCACCGTCCAGTAGTCCACCCGTGAGTTATCGACTCTCACTCTACAAAGGAGGGAAAAAGAGGGGTATGATCTAAAGCCCTGTAAGTAGGTCACTATTCTTGTATTCTTGACTATTAGCATATATGTCATAACATTGTCAATGGATTGTCAAAGACCGTACTGGAATAAAAAAGTAGAGTCATGCATCAGAATATGCACACTAATAGTATAACATGAGTATTGTTTAGAAGTTGAAGTATTTACTATTTCTTGTAATGACAGTTACATTAATACTTATCTCAGTCACAGTCAAATAGTCATACATGGTACTTAATTCAAACTGACAGAAACAGAATCAGAATCAGAATCAAAATCAGAAATCGAATCATAAACAGAATCAGGAACAAAATTATTTATTCCCGAAGTAGAAGTCACATCGATCAGGCTAAGCCAATCCTGCAACTTGAAACTTCCACCCTCATTCGCGAGGGAGGACAATGACAAATGGAGGTCCCATTTTGTAGTGTCCTCACTCACATACTTGGTCCCCAGTGCGCTTTGGGGTTTTGATAGGCTGAGGGCTTGTAAGACACGACCCTCTCCTTGCACCTTTAGGTGATAGGGCGTTGCACTACCATTGGAGGATTCAATGAGTAGTGCCCATAACAATTTGGGGGGTGAGACCCACCATGTTATTTACAGTTATCTCCCAACTCCAATCCTATCATTGGAGTCGGGGCAGAATCAGAACTTGCCGGCAAAACCGAATATCCACTACCAATGGAGGACTCATTGTGTAGTGGTAAGAAGTCACATATATAACAGTTCATATAACAGAAACAAAATATCCATTACCAATGGAGGACCCATCGCGTAGTGGCTAGAAGTTACATATAACAGAAACAAAATATCTACTATCAATGGAGGACCCATTGCATAGTAGCCAGAAGTCATATATGACAGAGTTCCATGTATATACATGCATAACATTCATTCATTCATATTATACTCTTTTCAAAAGGTTAGGAGCATTTAACATTTGTGAGGTCATAAGCATACTATTTAAAGCACCTTGCAAAAGGTATTAAGTTGTGTTTAGAAAGAGGCATCGATGCATGATATGACAACTTAAAATGTATTGTTGTCATTATCAATCATGGGCATATACAAAATGAGGCATGGCGCCCAAAATATGAAGGGAAATTCAATTAAATTCTGAATCCAATTTGCTAACTAAACAGTACTTGATCAATTGAGGGTTGAGTATATCGTTCTAAACCTTGCTGAATTCATCCAATAGTGACATACGTTCACAATTCGAAACATAACTTGCAAAATTTCAAAACAATTTAAACATGCAACTTTTAGTAGGAATTCAGAGCTTTCAAATGGCTATAGTTTCGGAGCATATGGACCCCATTTGGCCAGCCAAAACTCATGGCCATAGAGACAAAAATTCTGAGTTTTTATAAGGTCTGTCAACAGTGACATACTGGAGCATTCTTGAGTATAGCTGCTAATCTATATAGAATTTGGGCACGGTTAAAACATGAAAATCATAGAAGACCCATGCGTCTATCAAATGGTAGCCTTTTTGTGTCATTTGAACTTCAATAGTTCAGGTAATGCATTAGTACAATAGGAGTAATATTTCTGGAAATTATCACAATCTGCTAACAATGACATACATGCATAAAATAAAACATATCTTCCAAACTAACAAGAATTTCAACTGGACATAAGCATCAAACTCAAAGTAGACTCAGAGATATTTCAAATGGTGGTGATTTGAGGCCAATGGATATTATTTTCTTAGTCAAAATATCATTACAAGAACATGTAAAATCCTTGGAAAATCACAATCCAGCCATGAAATCCCTTCCAAATCATCTCCGAACTCTTAATCTATGCAGGTAACAACATGAAACCAATTCTAGCTTGAACTAGAATCACAAGAGTATCATCCCATAGAAATTTAGGGCTATCAAAAAAGATTTATCATGAAAAAGAAGGTAAGTTTTCTGGAAATTGCAATCACCATTTTTGCATATGCTTATGCTCAACTAGGTTCAAACCATACTTTATTCATGTTCCATGCTTATGGGTCTTCAAGGTAGTGATCCACTTACCTCTTTTTGTGCCCCCAAAGGTGATCCCAAATCTCCTTCCACAGTCCCCCTTCACCAAGCTTCTCAAGCTCCTCAACAATGGCACAAAAGCTAACTTTGGGCTCAAAAAACGTGAAGTGCAGAGAGAGAGAGAGAGAGAGCGAGAGAGTGTGGTTTTGCACTCCAAAGGTGGGAAGGTGGCTTTCTATGTTCGCCAAGTGGCCTTTGCATGGAAGGAAGGTTGACATTTGGCGCACAAGGCAGCATGCACCCGCCTTCTTCCTCTATCGCCGCGCACCTTCTTCCCCTATCACCGCGCACTCTCTTCCTTCCCTCCTTATCACCGCGTGCCTTCTTCCTATATCGCCGCGTGTTCACTTCCTTCGCTCCTTATTGCCGCGCGCCTTCTTCCTCTATCGTCGTGCGCCTTTTCCCCCTATCACTGCACACTCTCTTCCTTCTCTCCTTATTGTTGCGTACCTTCTTCCTCTATCACCGCGCGGTAGTGACTTCATCATGCTCAAGAAATTTGGATCGTTACATATACATTGCTTAATTTTCATGCCTAAATCAAAACTATGGAAACATGAGTGTTAAACCTACTTACATGTGCCCAAAAGTGTCCCAAATTCCCCCACACAGGTTCGTTCTAAGCTCCTCAATAGTGGCTCCAAGGGTTAAAATTCTAAGTGTTGAGAGTAGGTTCTCAAGGGTGAGAGAGTGAACAAAAGTTTGGGGAGGAGAGAAGGGGCTTAAGTAGCTCAAGAGTGGGAGGTGGCAGCCCGAAATTGCCAAGTGGAACTCATAGTGGCATGCAATTGGGTAGGTGGCATGCAAGGCAGCATCCAGCAGGCAAATGGCACCTCAGTGGTACGCATGGGCTTGGCAGTGTTGCTCATGGTGGCAGCGCTCGACGGCACTCACTGCCGTGCGCTCTCAGTTTTCTCTCTTCACACTACCAAGCGCGCTCTCTTCACACTGCCGAGTGCACCTCTCTTCACATTGCCAGGCGCGACATCAATCCTAGAAAATCCGAGTCCTTATAGAGTGATACTTTTGTTAAGGATTATGAAAATTTTACTGTGTCAAGGATATTATTGGTGATTTGAAGAAGAAATTTGACACACTTAATGAGGCACAAAGAATCATTAGAATAAAAAACCTCATGGGTTGTAAAATGGATGATCACACCAATGTGGGTGATCATATAAGGGAATTCAAGAATTGTATCAAGGAAAGTGAGAAATCTAGTCATTCTTAAGACCGGGTTACTCAAAACACACTTTTTGGTTACTTTTATATCACAAATAGAATGGGAGGTCGTTGTGATCGTTTTTCAATGAAAACCCCTATATTTGGTGCTCATTTAATCACTTTTGTAATTTTGCTGGTGGCCAGAAAATGGCATTCAAATGACCAAAAAATGTGCCTAAGTGCGAGCTTGAATCGGGTGCCTTCCCAACCTTAATCTCATGAAAATATTACCTCAAATCAAAGACCTCCGAGTCATGGTTACAACATACCCATATTTGAGGTTATTTGATGTCGGGGCTTCGAGATATGACCATTCGAATGGATGGATGTTCTTCTTTTAAAATTCTACACTCTATGAGTTTTTGAATCCAACTTCTCTCTAAAATTTCTCTCATTTCAGGTATTGTCTCGGGCCATATCTTATATCTAATTAAACCTACCACAAACTGAAATTTGGGCTTAACTAGACTCAAGTGGAGAGAGTTATGACCTCCACAAGTCAATCCCAAAGTCAAATGGCAGAGTTTTCAGAAATGGAAATTGGTTCTTTGAGGCAGCATAGGAAGAGTGTGAAACCCATCCATTTTGGGTAAGTTGGCCCTCGAACTGTCCCAAAGAGCCCAAATGAGCTAAATATTGGTATTCGTGGGTTTTAGGGTCTTCAAGATCCAATGGCAGTTGTCTGACACTCATCTAAGACATTGAAAATATAGCTATAGTTATGAGGTAGCTTTCAACATGATAGAGAGTGGTGTTGCCAAATGTAAATTGCATCCTGATCTGCTTTATCTTGATCATATTGGGAAAAAACTAGCTGGGTAATCTTAAAAAACCAAATTCCACCCTTTCATGCTTTTTGAGGCCAAGGGGACGCCTTTTCAAAATTGCTCAACAATCAAGCTTATTGGTGCAGGCTTCCGTAGTCCACAGGTGTGACAACTATCTATGGGCTTAGGTTGTAACCACTTCCACAAATTATTCAACCTGGGGAGTTAGTGCATCAAAAATACATACAAACAATTACATACATTAAACTTGTTGAAAGGATGAAACTTGTCATTCAAGTTACTCCTAAAGGAAGACTTTACAACCTTTTAGAATGATGTGCAAGGTGAAGATGCTGCAACACACATTTAAGAAGAGGCGAAGACTCCAAAACCCACAACCAATTGTGTAAAACCACAGGTCATCATCATAGAA